CTTCATAAGAGGAAGGAAGCCATAAAGGCATAAAAACCATCAGAGTGGCTGAAAGGCTCTAAATTGTAAAAATACAAAGTGACCTAACAGCTATAGATTAAAGACCTGGCTCTGCTCATCCCTTATCAGTTGGTCACTCCCAAGCCTAAGAGGAAATGTTTGTGGAGCTCACCTGTCTCCTATAAGCCATAGATAACATTCCTGCCAGTTCCTGGGTAAATAATCTTGAGGAGACCTTTAAGCCTGGGCACTAACTCGACTCCCCACTAAGTGTAGTTGTGTCCCACAACCCTGGTTGGGCATCTCCGGCCTTGGTGACTGTTGAGTGTCCAGCACCCTGGCTGAGTTTGCTTAAGCCCACCTGCCCCTGGTGGTGGCACTCAGCTGTTTCCTCTTTTTCTATTGTCCACTCCTAATCTTAGGATCCAGCCTGTAGGGAACGCAGGCCCTCCCAGCCTACTTTATTGGCCTAATGCCTCTGCTGAGACTGGGGACCCCTGAGGTCTTAGGGGCCTGAGCCTACCTAAGGGGAGAAGGCCTCTTGTCTTGAGAGCATACTGATGCCCTGCCTAGACGCAGACTGGATTCTTAGGAGAAGGCAGGGACAACTCTCCTTACCTGCATCCTCTCCTTGGCTCCCACTCTTCAACCCTTCTCCCTCCCCTTAATTCCTTACTCTACCTCTCTTCCAGATTTAGCCAGACCTCTGGGTAGGGAAGCCACCTTCCATTTGTTTTGGCCACTCATCCACCACCTCTGGAGACAAGGTAGTCTGGTAATCTGGACCTGACTGGGGGGGCAAGGGGTGGGCACCGGCCAGGTCCCAGGAGTTCTGGGAGTGTCGTGGTGTAAGAGCGAGACCACTGAGGACAAGTCAGCCTTTGGGTTGCAACAGCAAGAGGTTTATTCAGGACACAGGTACCTGTGGGCACAAAGTCTCCTCGGAGGACTTGCGCGCCCCAGGTTGAGTTCAGGGGGTTTTTATAAGGCAGAAGCAGGGTACAGAAGCAGAAACGCGGTTATTGGTTAATTTCAAACACACATAGTAATTTTACCAGTAATTTCAAAGGTATGCAGGGGTATGGGGTAAGGTCCGGGGCTGAGGGGAAATAGGATTGCTAAATGGGAGGTGACCTCAGAAGCACAGACGTTTTCTAAAGATTTCCTGGTATCGGGCCCCCAGGGTGGTCAGGAGTTCTGTCTTGTTTATGGCTTCATCTGTGAGGCTTGACCGACGCCTGCCTGTCCTGCAGCCTTTTGATAAGGCTGGTTCTGGTTTTTGTTAAGTTTTAACAAGTGGGCTGTGGGCCCCTGAGCACTCATGGTGCCTAGTTTCTTTTTAGTTTCTCACTGTTAAGATTTTCTTAAATTGTCAAGTTATCCGTATAACTACGTGGAAGAAAAGGTTTGAGTCCTGTTTTAGCGGTTTCTGTTGCTGTGATAAACACAATGACCAAAGCAACTTGGGGGGAAAGGGTTTATTTGATTTGTAGGTTATAATCCATCATTGAGGGAAGCCAAGGCAGGAAAAAATAGAGACCATGGAGAAACACTGTTTGCTGCCCCTGGATTGCTCGGCTACTTTTCTTACATAGCCCAAACCTGATTGTTCATGGTTGGCAACACCCACAGTGGGCTGGATCCTCCTACATCAATTAGCAATTGAGAAAATGCCCCACAGACATGGCCAGAGGCCAATCTGATGGAGGCGATTCCTCAGTTGAGATTCTCTCTTCCCCAGGTATCTTTAGTTTGTGTCAAGCTGATAAAAACTAACTATGAGAAGCTAGGATAAGAAAGGGGTGAGGGTGGTAAGTACCCAAATCAAGAATGATTGCTGTCATTCTATCCAAAACAGCTAGCTGGGGTGTTTCTACAGTACACTGTTCATTGAAAGTGTCTTGCAGCACACAGATTACACCTCACCAGACAGAGTCAGTGTGAGTTGACGTGGGTCATGCTACACTCTGGTGCCTTTTTTTCTATAGGAAAAGGAAGAATTGATTGAAGAGTGGCAGCCAGAACCACTTGTTCCTCCTGTCTCAAAAGACCATCCTGCGCTCAACTACAACATCGTTTCCGGGTAAATTAGCTTTGCTGCTTGCAGTATGTGTTCTCTATTTTAGTTATATTTGCAAAAGTATATACTTCTTTATATAGTATTCCTTTTTAAAAATATTTTATTTATTTTTTATTTTACATCTATATATGTATTGCTTGCATGTGTGTAGGTACACCCATGTCATGTAATGCCTAAGGGGCTCAGAAGAGGGCGTTGGATCCCCTGAAACTGGAGTTATGGACAGTTATTAGCTGCCATGTGGATGCTGGGAATTGAACCCAGGTCCTTTGCAGGAGCAGCCAGTGCTCCTAATCATGGAGCCATCTCTCCAGACCCAGTATTCCCTTTTTTTTTTTTTAACTTTTACAAAAACTTTATTGAGAATTTCATACATGCATATAAGGTGTTTTGATCAAATCCACGCCTACTCCCTCCCCTCCAACATTGCCCCATCTGAAGAGGTAACCCTAAGATCTTTTAAGGATTAGCTACAAGCTCCCAAAATACTTTCAGCATTTTTGGCCTTTGGAATGCAGTATGTTGCTAAGAGGCCCAAGGACATTTTGACTTTTAGCCAAGAATCTGGCTACTTTTCCTTGGGGTCTTTCTAACTTAACTGCCTATCCAATTCCTACCTTCTATTCTTATCACACCATTCTCTGAAGAGGTTACCCAAACTGTTCTGGCATTTTATTACCGAAACAAAGGTAATGGATAAATGATATGGATCTACAAGATCAAACCTTTGTTGACACCCCCAACACCTCAGGATCCTCATCACTTGCTTAGGGGCTGTTTGTGTTCTCTAATTTCGTGTTTCCTAGATTATACCTTTATTTATTTTCTTTTGTTACCCCTGGGTTATAGTTGTTTCTCTCTTTGCTCTCTGTATTGCTTCAAGTATTCTTTGAAGGGCTGGTTTTGTGGACATGTATGCTTTCAGGCTATTTGTCCTGTCATGGAAGATTTTTCTTTCCCCCTCAACTATAATAGACATTTTTGATAGGTAAAGTAGTCTGGGCTGGCATCTATTGTCATTTAGAACTGGAAATACCTTAATCGAGGCTCTTCTGTCTTTCATAGTTCGCAATGATCAGTCACCTGTAATCCTGATGGGCTTTCCTTTGTATGTGACTTGTTTTTCTTTTGCTGCTTTCAGTATTCTCTCTTTGTTTTGTGGCAATCTTTTAATGACTGAGCACAACCATCAACAAGCCCAATTGTGACTATATTTAGTGATCAGGCTCAGCTGAAGTCAGGTGATGATGGTAGTTATTTCATGAAGAAAGGATTGCTGTATAGGATCATCTTATTAAAAGGACCTGGACTTTAAAAGAATTTGGTGCTAGGAGCCACATATGAGGGAGAACATAAGTTGTTTGTTTTTCTGAGTCTGTGTTACTTCACTTAGTATAACAGTTTCTAGATCCATCCATTTACCTGCAAATTTCATTATTTCATCTTTCTTTACTGCTGAATAGAATTCCATTGTGTAAATGTACCACACTTTTGTTAACCCCTCATCAGTTGAGGGGCACTTAGGATGCTTCCATCTGTTAGCTATTATGAAAAGAGCAACAACAAACATGGTTGTACAAGTGTCTCTACAATAGGGTGAGTCCTTTGGGTATATGCCAAGGAGTGGTAGAACCGGGCCATATGGTAGGTTCATTTTTAGTTTTGTAAGAGTTCTCCACACTGTTTTCCATAGAGGTTGCAGGAGTTTGCGATCCCACCAGCAGTGAATGAGCGTTCCCCTTTCTCCAAATCCTCACCAGCATTTGGTATCATTTGTTCTCTTGATCCTAGGCAGCCTGAT